GAAGGCCTCGCATTTGAGAAAGTTCTTGAAAATATGGAAGGAACCATGCAGTTGTGTGGCCAAGAGTGTACCAGGCAGAGGCAGTTGAGTGTTGGCCCTGAGGCAGGAGCCATTGTTCTGAGTCTTAAGAAACATTAAAGTAAGTTGATGAGACGCATAGGGACTGGTCACCCAGGCTGAACGGACCCCATTCCCTCTTTGGTTTTTACTCTGACGGATCCAGGGTTACTGGGTAGTGAGAGCTGCTTTTAGTGGATCTATTCCCTCCCTTCCTCCCTTCTTCTCTTCTCTTCTCTTCTCTTCTTTCTTGTTGGCCATGGAGCTTGAACTCAGGGCTTGATTGCTGTCTCTCTGAGCTTTTGTGCCCAAAGCTAGCACTCTACCACTTTGAGCTACAGGGCTACTTCCAGTTTTCTGGTGGTTACTTGGAGATAAGAGTCTCACAGACTTTTCTGCCTTGGCTGAACCACCTCTCTCAGATCTCAGCCTCGTGAGTAGCTAGGGTTATAGGCATGAGTGAAGCACCTGGCTTGATATCTGTTTTTAAGGTGTTGTTTATGCTTCACAAGCCTGCAAAGTAAAGCTCTAAGAATCCTTTTATATACATGAGGAGCCTTAGGCTCAGAGCAATGATAAGAATCCTTCTTTCTGCTGCCCGTGTGCTTTTTCCCTGCTGTCCTTTCCTGCCTAGGCTCATTCTTGCATCTTCTGAAGAGGTAGAGTGGAGAGAAGGGCTCAGGAAGTTCAGACTCTCCTGTGTGACTTTGAGCAAGTTTCTTCACCTCTCTGAGGTTCTTTGCTTGTTGTAGACTAGTCTGAGGATTATGCGGCAGTCATGTAGTGGTAAGGGTTCTGTTGGCACAGCCAACAGTGCTCTCAGCTGGATGGGTGATGGAGTGGGGAGCAGGAGTGGGGTAAGGATGCTCTTTGTGGCCCTGAACAAGGTCTGCAAGGAGGTAGAACTAGGAACCTTCCCCCTGCTGTCTGTGTACAGCAGGAAAAGCCAAGGTCATCTATCAACTTGGAGGTCAAAGCCTATGGGCTTTGTCCCTGTCTCCCTCTCTCCCTCCTGGCCCAGCCCCTGCGCCAGCCACCCATCCTCTTTCCCCACCAACATAGTAGCTTCCCATTTCAGCATGGGCTGCTTGGGTTCTGGCTTCTGTATTCCAAGGGCCAGCTAAGGAGAAAGCTGGTCTGAGCCCTTGTCACCTGAGCCACTGATTCTAAAGTACAGAGAAGCCCACTGAGATCCTCTTGTGTGACCGGGTTTTCCATTTTTCTCAGCTCTCCCCTTCCCCATTAAGGTCAGTGCTGTCCCTTGGCTGCTCAGGTGCATGACCAGGGTCCTAGCAATGATGGTGCTAGTCACTGTGGTCCGTCCCCTCTTGCTTCCTGTGCTGTGTCCCTACCCCTGTGCACACCAACCCTTTTGTGGTCAGCCAGCTTCCCGTTTCAGACTCATTTAGGCATTCACAACCCCTAGCCTCCAGGGGACAGTGGTCACACAAGAATCTTCATAGAGGCATCTGTGGCACCTCAGGCCTCTCCCAATATATGTGGTAGCAGAGGTGATAGGAAGTCCCTGGTCCCAGGAAGGGTGTTTCTGTGACTGAGGTCAGGCAGGAGGCCAGTCCCCAGCCATGCTGGTGGCAGGTGCCTGGGACTCCACAGGTGTGGGTTGTGTGGGTTACCACAAGGTGGGAGGGGCTGAGTGGAGGCTCTAAGAGTGTTGGGGGGAGCAGGGAAGGTGGCTCTGGGCTAGGACTATGGGTAAGGGTAGGTAAGCTGTCTGAAGGTTTGCCCATTGGGCCCCACGGTGCTCTTGCCTATAGATGGGGGAAAGGCAGTAGTAGGCACAGGGCCAGGAGTCCAGTACTATGAGAGGTCAAGTGTTGGGGTGACTCAGAGTGCCTGCCTAGCATGTGTGAAAAACCTGGGGCAAAAGATGGTGGCAGGGCAGGTAGGTACAAATTGCCCCCATTTGGGGGACAGAGATATAGTGGGCCCAGAGATGGATAGTGTGTGACAGAACTTTTCACAAAGCTTCTTCACCGTATACAGGAATGTGATTCTAGCACATTCGAGGCTGAAGCAGGAAGATTTCAAGGTTGAGACCAACCTGGGCTACGTAGTGATACTGTCTCAAAAAGAAACAAAAGCAAACCTTTTTACTCTCAGTTTCATTTATTTGCAAGTGCTGGGCTTCACAGAATCAATCCCCCCTCCTCCCTGCCTGACCCTTTTTTTTTTACTGTGGGGCTTGGGCCTGAGGAGACTGGGGTAAGGATCAGAGCTGGGGTGGGGTCAGATGCATGTGGAGTGGATGCAAACCACAAACCCTTTGAGTCTCATGTCTACTACTGGATCTCTGCATTTTCCATCTGGAAGGCTGTTGGCCTCCTGGTGCCTGGAAGGGAGACCTTATTTGATTAACTGAATTTGAGACTCTCAGGAGGGGTTGGTGGGGCAGGAGGAACCTGTAGGTCTGACTCCAGTCCAGTTGGCCCAGGACAGGAGCGGTTTCATTTCTTCTTCTCCTTTCCTTTCCTTCCCTTCCTTTCCGTGTGATGGTCCTGTGGCTTGAACTCAGGTCTGGATGCTGTCCCTGGGCTATTTTGCTCAAGGCTAGTACTCTACCACTTGAGCCATAGCTCCATTTCTACCTTTTTTGGTGGTTAATTAGAAGTAAGAGTCTCACAGACTTTCCTACCTAGGCTGCCTTCAAACCGTGATCCTCAGATCTCAGCCTCTTAAGCAGCTAGGATTACAGGCATGAGTCACCGGTACCTGGCTGGCAATTTCATTTATAGTTCCTTTAGTCATATATGCATATATTTAAAATCATGGTTACCTTATTATTGATGGTATTAGAGAACAAATTGCTGTAACCTCAGTTCTAATGACATCAATTTATTATTTTCCTAACAATAACCATTATTTAAAAATAATAATGGCCATTATTATTTTTATTTGCGCACTGGGGTGGGGGTAGGGTCAAACCCAGGGTTTCAAGCATGCTAGATAGTGCTTTACCATTGAATGATACCTCCAACCTTTTCCTTGTAATTCTGTAAATGATACATAGTTCCATCTTCAATTATGTAAATTATGCACAGTTGCATCTTTTAATCATGTAAATGACATAGTTTCAGAAACTTCAAACAATATAGACATGAAATCTGTAGAAAGTGCAAGTTTCAGCTGAGCATCAGTGGCTCATACTTATAATCCTAGATAGGAGGTTGAGATCTGAAGATCACAGTTCAAAGCCAGCCCAAGAAGGAAAGTCTGTCTGTGAGACTTTTTCCCAGTCATGGGCCTTGAACTCTGGGCATGAACACTGTCTCTGAGCTCCTTTTTGCTCAAGGATAGCACTCTACCATTTGAGCTATAGCACCATTTTTAGCTTTTTCTGTGATTAATAGGAGATAAGAGTCTTATCGATTTTCCTGCCTGGGCTGGCTTTGAACCTCGATGCTCAGATCTCAACCTCCTGAGTAGTTAGGATTACAGTGCTAGCCATCAGCATATAGCTCTGTGAGACTGTTACCTCCAATTAACTACCAAACAGGCCAGAAGGGGAGTTGTGGCCCACATGGTGTTGTACTAGCCTTGAGGACAGCACTCAGGACCTGAGTTCAAGAGTGCACGTGTACGCGCGCACACACACACACACACACACACACACACACACACACAGAGTGGAAGTCTTTAGATGCCAGTAGGGATGATGAGGGTACTATTCAGTGGTAGAGAGAATACTCTTGCCTAGCATGTACAAATTCCTGGCCTTAGTCACTTACAACACACACACACACACACACACACACACACACACACACACAGAGGAGCAGAATAAGGGTAAGGCCTGACACACACACACACACACACACACACACACACACACAGAGGAGCAGAATAAGGGTAAGGCCTGACACACACACACACACACACATACACATACACACACACACACACACACAGAGGAGCAGAATAAGGGTAAGGCCTGAAATTGCTACCAGAGAGGTCTACTGTCCCTTAGTCATTAATGTCCTTAATAAAACTTTGGTTTATTATTTTATTAGGGTGATGATCAGGCTGCTGCAAAAATGGCATGCCTGCTTCTCACCAGGTCCTCTGTGTATGGATGTCCACATGGTGCACTGTCCAGCAGGGCCAGGTGGATGGGTGGGGTGAGGGCTAGGAGAGGAAGAACTGAGCCTGCTGTGGATGAGGTCATCAGGCAGGGGTGCCAGGTAGGAGCTGGGGTGAGGTACTCACTGGTGGCTAGGAGACCTGAAATCTCTGGAATGCTGAGGGTCCTGACTGGAGCCTGGCTTATAAGCTCGGTTCTAGTTGCTGGCCTTGGGACTTGTACAGGAAGTGACAGCCTTCGCCTGGGAGAATTCTACAGAAAATGCAAGTCTGGCCTCTCGTACACATGTGGTGACGTGTCCTAGTCATCTGTGAGGCAGAGAGGGACAAATGGAGGGCCTAAACCATAGTATGACTCGCTTAGGACTCAGGACCAAAGTTGTGGGGCCAGACTGTAGTCTAGACTCATCTTGTACCCTGGGGACAGAGTTCAGGCCTTGATTCAGGAACTGGGCAGCTGAGACAGCTCTTTATGCCCCTAGGCCAGGGGGGACTCCCACGGCTCTAGGACCCCAGAAGATAGACCCTACCACAGCTGGAGCAGGACAGGGCATGCCTGGAGCCTGGGAGAGTTATGGGGAAGGAACTTCTTAGTTGACTTGTTTGGGGTATATATATAGCTTCTTGGTGGGGGGGACGGACATATCCGTGGTTTCTCTGCCTTTGGTGGGGAGGGTTATACAAGTCACCTTAGAGTTGAGGGAGCTGCCTTTGCTGGGAGGCGGGGGTCACTTCTGCACCCTCTAGCCTGGGAACTCCACCCTCACTTAGTTCCTCATATCTACAGGAAGTGTCCCCAAGACTTATTGCCCTGTTAGCCTGAGCCCGCAGAGACCTGCTACCGCCCAGGAGGGTGGCAGATGCCCTGGAGGCTGGTCTGGCTTGTAGGTACCATTTGGGGACTGGTGGGGCGGGGTGGAGGTGAGCATGGGGCACATGGGGCTCTAGGAGTTGCTGAAGTTGGGTTGATGATGGTGGGTGGGAGGCTGAAGGCTGGGCGGAGGGGTGGGGTGGCCGTGGGCTGGGTGAAAGTGGGAGGTACATGTGGTTCTGGTGGGTAGGTTATAGTACAAGTGGGTGGGGTATGGTTTCTAGGCCTAGATGACTGTGTGTTGGGTGAAAATCTTGGAGGGCTTTCCTGAGGTTGGAGTGCTAGGGATCCTGTTCAGCTGACTGCTTGGCTGGGAAACTTTGGCTGGGGCATGGAGAAGGCCGTGGAGAGGAAGAAGAGGGGACAAGCCTCAGGACTCTGGCTAGCCCTAGGCCTTCCTCTCTCCCTTCCTGCCCCCTGCAGGCCAGACCAGCCTCCAGGGCATCTGCCACCCTCCTGGGCGGTATAGCTGGTCTCTGTGGACTCAGGCTAACAGGTCTGAGGCTTCTCTAGAAGCCAGAGTTGAGCTCTCTGCAGAAGGGTCTGTGGGAGTCACTGGCAGGCATCCTGGCCCCGGGGACTGAGGAGCAGAGTGTGGAATGCACTAGGATCTTTAAGACTGTCCTGACTGCCCTGACTGGGCTGATTCACTCATGCAAATCAGAATGCAAATAAGACCGGCCCAGGAAAGAAGGGTCCACCCACCCGGTCAGCAGGCCTTCAAGTGACTAACAGCAGTCACTAAACTCTCTGGGTGTCTCTGGATGTACTCCACTGGATTTCTGTCTCCAGCTCAGTAGGGTCCTTTCCTGTTCTGGACCTTGCACATTCTGTTCCCTTTGCCTGGAACAGCAGCTTTCTTTTCTTTACCCATCCACCTCCTAGGAAGTCCTCACAGCCTGGAGCCCTCCGGAGAGAGATTGCCCTCACACGGCTGCCTAGAGGCAGTCACATGCTCTTTATACTCCAGCAAGTGACTTGGGTAAGTCCCTACCTCATGCAGGCCTTGGGATTGGCCTGCAGATGAGCCAGGTGGAGGTGGGAATAGAACAGGGGCTGGCACATGGTGGCACTTAGGAGATGGAAGAAGCTCTGGGTCATTGTGCTGGGCTAGTGGAGTTGGTGTCACTAGTCATATTGGGTAGGGATGCCAAGAGGGAGTTGCCAGGCTGGGACAGAGATGAAGTAATGAGAGTTAAACCCTTGGGGTCAAGATAGTTACTAGAAAGTTTGGATCTAGGAAGAGGGACTCAAGCCAGACCTGAAGAAGGACTATTTGGCAAGGATTGAAGATTCCTGACGATCTTACTTAACCTCCGGACTGGAGACTCGGTGCCTTTGTGAGCAGAGTCAGGCTGTGGGCTCCATTGTGGAGAGTAGAGGGGACTTTCAGGATACAGGCAGAACATCGTGGGAGTTTGCTGAGGGTCAGTCACTGAGGCCTTTCTGCAAGAAGCAGCCTGGAGCAGATGCCTGAAGGGGAGATGGGGGTGGTTTATTTACTCATTGTCAGCAGACAGTTGACAGTTTCGGGGCTCCCCATATGCTGTGTGTTGGTGTAGGAAGTGACAGGGAGGGAGTTGTGGACGGAACATGTCACTGAGCATTTGGGCAAGTCACTTCCTCCCTGAGGATGTTTGTTTCTTCACCCATAAGTAAGAGGCAGGGCTGGACCAGCTTGAAGGGCATGTAAGGAGCCAGGGGTCCTTGAACACACTGGGAGCCCCAGCAGGCTGTTGAGCAGGGCAGAACCTCAACTAGACTAGTAAGAGAAGCAGAGCCAGAATGATGGGCAGGGTGAGACAGGAGGGGGCCCGGCTCCTCAAATGTGGCTGTGCTGTCCCTCCCCACTGCTGGGATCAGCCCCCCTGAGGTGGTAGACTGGGGGTTACACAGGAACAAGGACTTCAGCTTTAAACCAGGGATGAGGTAGAGCCTGGGATGCATTGGTCCAGGGTGCAGAATTTGAAGGCATATCAAAAAGCTTGGTTACCAAGGCATAGAATATTTTAATGTCAAAATTAATGCAAAAAATCCACAGTAAATCTTTTTTTGTGAGTGGAGCTTCAACTCTGAGCCTGGACACTGTCCCTGAGCTCTTTAGCTCAAGGTGAACGCTCTACTGCTTGAGTACCACTTCCAGTTTTCTGGTGGTTACTTGGAGATAAGAGTCTCCTTGACTTTCCTGCCTGGGCTGGTTTTGAACCATGATCCTCAGATCTCAGCCTCCTGAGTAGCTAGGATTATAGGTGTGAGCCACTGGTGCCCGGCCACAGTAAATTTTTAAATTTTTAATTTTCAGTAAAGACAAGACAGTATTGATGATACATTTTCAGCCTCAATAGTGTGCTGCTTCAAACCTTGTATGGAGCTACCTCCTCCAGGAAGCTTCCCCTGATTATAGCCCGATGAGGCCCCGCCCCTTATCCACCTCCCTAGCTGTTTTCGCTGGCTGATGCTGTTGATTCCCTCCAGTGTTAGGTTCCTGGAGGCATTGGGTTTATGCTTCTAACGCCTTGAACAGGGCTGATCCAAAGGTCAAGGTTGAATCCCAGGTTCTTTGACCTTATCTCGCTTCCTGTAGTGCAGGAATAGGAAGTTCAGAGAGGCCCAGTAGGAACCCAGCTCTTCTCTGGGGAAGGACTAGTTTCCTGTCTCCCACCTCTGGCCCGTCCAGTAGAGTGGTTGGGACCATCATCAAGAAAGCTTCTTGTGTTATTCTCTTAGCCTTTAGCAGGTGTTCTGTCATCCTTGTTCTTGAATTTGAGAGGAGCAAGGAGGGTGGTTCAGGGCTGCTCTGCCCAATAGGAGTACAGTGCAAGGCACAGATGTAATATAAATGCACTACTAGGCACATTGAAGAAAATAGGTGTGGCTGGGGGCATGGCCCAGCCGTAGGCACTTGCCTAGCATGAGCAAGGCCCTTGGTTTCCATCCTTAGCATGAAAATATTAAATAGGTAGACAGATAAAAGGAAAGAAAGAAGAAAAGAAGAAAAGAGGAAAGGAGAGAAAAGCAACAGAAACAAGTATAGTTAATTTTAATAGTCTTTTAACTCAATATCTACAATATTGTGGTTTATCATATAAGCAATACGAAAAATTTGAGATATTTTACATTTTTTTTTTGGTACTAAGTCTTCAAAATCCCAGGTGTTCAAAATCTAGTGCATCTTATTTTGGGGTCTGCATCTCAAATGTTCAAATTTTGAACTGCTAGCTGCTATGTAGACCAGGCAGGCGTAGGTTGTATTTAGACTTTCTTCCTAGCTTACATATCTATGCTTTAGACCAAGTATTTAGCCTCTCTGTGCTCTACATTCTTTCTGGTAAAACAAGGAAAACAGGCCAGGTGCTGGTGGCTCATACCTGTGATCCTAGTTACTCAGGAGGCTGAGATCTGAGGATCAAGGTTCAAGGCCAGCCCAGGCAGGAAAGTCCATGAGACTCTTTTTCGTTTGTTTGTTTGTTTTTTGGTCAGTTGTAGGGCTTGAACTCTGGGCCTGGACAGTGTCCCTCAGCTCTTCAGCTCAAGGTACTCTACCACTTGAGCCACAGAGCCACTTCTGTTTTTTTAGTGGTTTATTGGAGATAAGAATCTCCTGGATTTTCCTGCCCAGGCTGGCTTTGAACTGTGATCCTCAGATCTCAGCCTCCTGAGTAGCTAGGATTATAGGCATGAGCCACCATCACCTGGCTCATCTATCCCCTTTGTATTGCCTTCCCTGGACAATCCCCACCAGCTTTCCCAGTGACCTATCTGCCACTGGTCCTGAAAAGTGCCAGAAGCCTGAGTCCTAAGGCCTTGTAGTTTTATTTATTAATTATGTTATCATTTTTTTAATGGTAAGAAAACTTGGCAGAGCTTTATTGAGTAAGCAAGCAAGCAGTCAAGCAGACAAGCAGAAAGGCAGAGGTACACTCTAACAGAGGGTGGGTTCTCTCTAAGGGAGAGACCTATTATTATTTTGTGTATGTGTTTATGTGTGTGCTAGTACTGAGGCTTGAATTCAGGGCCTGGGTGCTGTCCCTGGGCTTTTTTGCACAAGGCTAGCCAGTTCCACTTCTGGCATTTTTTTGGGGGTGTGTGTGGCCGGGGAGGGGGGGGAGTGATTAATTAGAGATAAAAGTCTCTTTCTAGTCAGGGCTAGCTTTAAACCATGATCCTCAGATGTGACCCTCTGAGTAGCTAGGATTGCATACTTGAGTCACTAGTGCCCCACTCCTGAGTCTTTTTAGTACCTGCATGGCCCCCACCTTTGGCAGGACTGTGTGGCTGCCTAGAGTCCCGTATGTAGTCCCCAGAACCCTTTTCCTTCCCTCTCTTCCTATTCCTCCACCATGCCTGTCCCTGCTTTTTTCCCCTTTTCTTTGGCTTTCCCCATCTGTCTGTCCTTCACTTTCCCCGACCTCTTCCTCCTCCTGCATCCTGGATGCCTCATACACTTTGTCCCCCATCTCTGTCTCTGCAGCTTCCACCTCAGGCCAAGATGCTGAGCCCAGTGGAGTAGCAGTGCCTCTAGGAGGACCAGGCGGCCCTGGCAGCCCAGCTGGTGAGTGAGGGGCTGAAGGCAAGTGCTGAGCTGGATGCAGCAGCCTCTGCTCCATGCTGAGATGGGGGGTTCAGAGAATTGGTCCCGGGAGCTTTTGAAGGTCTCTCCTTGCTGGGTCTGAGAGGACAGGGAAGAGTCCTCAGGCTGGAGTGGGGGTGTCTATCCTTGCTTGGTGAGTTGTGGTCCCTTTCTCATCCCCAGGGTTTACTCATTCTCTGCCTCCTTCCCTCCTTCCTTTCCTTCCTCCCTCTCTACTCTCTCATCCTGGGGCTTGAACTCAGGGCCTGGGTGCTGGCCTTCAGCTTTTGTGCTCAAGGCAACCACTCTACCATTTGATCCACAGCTCCACTTCTGGTAAGTGTGTGTGTGTGTGTGTGTGTGTGTGTGTGTGAGAGAGAGAGAGAGAGAGAAGAGTGTGTGTGTGTGTGTGTGTGTGTGTGTGTGAAGAGTCTCAGACTCTCCTGTTGGAACTGGCTTCAAACCATGATTCTTATATTTGAGCCTCATGAGTAGCTAGGATTACATGCACCAGTTACCAGCACCTGGCTACTTACTTAATCTCTTTAAATTTTCACCTTCCTTCCTTCCCCCTTCCTTCCTTCCTTCCTTCGCTTCTTTCTTTCTTTCTTTCTTTCTTTCTCTCTCTCTCTTTCTTTCTCTCTCTCTCTTTCACTTTTTCTGGAGAAAATATTAGAAAATTAAAAAGAAGGAAATAGTTTATCAGCTGCCAGTTCTCCCCATAGGCAGTGTCTAGTTTTTCTTCCTAGAAAATTCTGGGTATGTATTTGTATGTGTCTACCTATATTTTTCTTTTTTCTTTTTTTTTTATTGTGAAAGTACTGTATAGAGGGGTTACAATTACATGGGCAAGATATATTTTTTCTTTTCTTTTCTTTTTTTTTTTTAGAAAATATGTTTTAATATATATTTTTCTTTAACCCAGTTTTCTTCACCTAACTTTTCTACATAACAATGTCTTTATTTTCAATTTATACAAACTCTAGATCCTATCAGTCTTAAACCAACTCCAGTCCTTGGTTTCAGTTGGGGAATAACATTGGAATTCTAGTTCTTTCATGGAAGAGCTGGTAATTTATAATGTTGAGGACTACTATATCCAGAACATTGGATGTGTTTTTATTTCTACTTTCCTTTGGCTCTCTCAGCTAGCTCTGTTGTTATTATTATTTTTAATTTGCATAATTTAAAATTTAGATGGTAGAAAAACAAATCCAATATCATTCTCTCTCCCTGACAGGGGTGGATTTCCAGGGAAGCTGGAAATCTACTTAATCTGCTTGAGCTCCTTTAGGGTCCAAAGAGGGGCTGGGGCAATGCGCATGTGGAGGTGTGGTTTTGGTGTTGTTTTATTTTTGTCGTATGTTTTGTGAATTTTTAAAAAATAATATATTCTTGTGATCTGGTTTACCAAAAATGGCATGTAAATTGTTTAAGCCTCAGGCCCTATGAGTTCAGTCATCAGGAGAGAAGTACGTGGTATAGCCTGGTCCCTCAACCCTCTTCAGATGTTTTGTTGGCATTTAACAATACATACTAACCCACATTCTCCTGTCTCTCTTCAGATGTGCTGTTTACATTGTATAGTGCATACTGGTCTGTACTCTTGTTAATTTTTTTTTTCACACAAAAGGCAGACTGTTAGAATATCATTCCATACACAGCTTCCTCCTTTTTTAATGATTGCATGGTGTTCTGTTGTATGACTACCCTGTAATTTAGTTAACCATTCTTCAATGGATGGACATTTTGGTTATTTCCAATCTTTTGTTATTCTTGACAGTATAGTAGCTAATAACTTCCTATATTTGTCACTTCAGGAACTGGCCAATAAAACTGCAGGATCATTGCCCACAATCAACCAAGAGTGGCTGAGTCAAAAAGTAGCAGCTTGTAAGGCTCATCTCATTTCTGGGTGTTGTATTCCCTGGAGCTGTCCTGGCCCCTGGCTAGGGATGGGGGCCAGTGTATGTATTTTCAGACTTGTTGCTGTTTGGACGTCTGATAAGTGGGAAGAAGTATTTTGTCTTTGTCTTTCATTAATTTCCTTGTCATATGTTCAAAGACCATCTATATCTGGACACTGGTGGTTCATACCTGTAATCCTATCTACTCAGGAGGCTGAGATCTAAGGATCATGGTTCAAAGCCAGCTGAGGCAGGAAAGTCCACAAGATGATTTTTTGTTGTTGGTGGTGGTGGTGGGTGGTCATGGGAGTTGAACTTAGGGCTTGGGTGCTGACCCTGAATGCTTTTGCTCAAGGGTAGATCTCTATCACTTTGAGCTGTTTAATTGGAGATAAGAATCTCATAGACTCTTCTACACTGCTGGCTTTGAATCTCAATCCTCAGATCTTATCCTCCTGTGTAGCTAGGATTTTAGGTGTGAGCCACCAGTTTCTGGCTGTGAAACACTTATCTCCAACTAACCAAACAAAAACCAGAAGTGGAGCCATGGTTCAAAGTGGTGGAGTGCTTTCCTTGAGCAAAAGAGCTCAGAGATGCTGCTTGGGCCCTGAGTTCAAGCCCCATGACTAACAACAACAGCAAAAACAAACTCACCTATATTTTCCTTTCTGTGAATTTCACGATTCATATTCTTTGCTCATTTTTCTGTTAGATTATTATTTATGTCTTTTTTCTAGGTGTTTTCCAGCTTTCAGGAAGTGTGTAGGATGAGATTTCCCCAGGCTCTCATTTACCATTGCTTGGCCTGTGGCGTTTCCAACCACATAGGATGCTTGATTTTTATGGACATGTGTATGTTTCATGATGGAGACACAGTCTGAGAAATGTGTCATTTGGCAATTTTGTCATGTGTGAATTTCAGATGTGTACTTATACAAATATAGTCAGTCATTCCATGTGGCTTATTGTGTGTGTGTGTGTGTGTGTGTGTGTGTGTGTGTGTGTGTGTGCTAGTACTTGGGCTTGAACTCAGGGCCTTGCGTTCTCACATTTTATCTCATGGATGGTGTTCTACCACTTGAGCCACACATCTAGTTCTAGCTTTTTACTAGTTAATTGGCAATAAGGGTCCCTCAGATTTATCTTTGAGAATAGCTTTACACATTCTCAGATCTCTGTCTCCTGAGTAGCCAGGATTACAAGCCTGCTTAATACACAGTCAAAAGATTAAAAGCAGGAAGTGGCGCTGTAGCTCAAGTGGTAGAGCGCTCGCCTTGAGCTGAAGAGCTGAGGGACAACGCCAGGCCCAGAGTTCAAGCCCCACGACCGACAAAAAAAAAAAAAAAAAAAAAGATTAAAAGCATAACACATTCATTAGCATGATCAAGTATTAGGTACAGCATCACCACATGCAGGTGAGTCATGAGCACATCACACCATGAAGTTATAATGGCTGTGATGCCATTAGGCAGTCGGGCCTTTTCAGCTTATTTATTTTTCTTTTTGGCAGTATTGAGGTTTGAACTTGGGGCTTCATTCTTTTAGGCAGGTGCTCTACCATCAAGCCACACTAGTCCTTTTCTGCACTGATTATTTTAAGGTAGGGTTTTCTGTTTTGCCTGGCCTTGTGTCTAAACCATGATCTTCCTAGTTTTCTCTTCCTGCTATGACAGAAGCCACACTATGCCCAGCTTCATCTACTGAGATGGAGTTGCACTAACTTTATACCTGGGGCCATGAATCTCCCAATGCTTAGCTTCCCATGTAGCTGGGATGATAAGTGTGAGACACTTTCTCTATTATAATCTGAGGGGGTTGTTATTGTAATAATGATGTGCCCATTACCTAGTCATTCTTTCCTCCTTTTCACCCCTCCTCCCTCGCTCCATTCATGCCTCTCTTCCTTCCTTTCTCTGTCTTTTTCTTGTGGGAACATTTATTTAATCTCTACTGAGATATTGTGTATTTCTTTTCTTTTTTTCTTTTGTCGGTCATGGGACTTGAACTCAGGGCCTGGGTACTGTTCTAAGATCCTTTGCTCAAGGCTAGTTCTCTACCACTTTGAGTCACAGCGCCACTTCCTGTTTTCTGGTGGTTAATTGGAGTCACATGGACTTCCCTGCCTGTGCTG